ATGCCCTAGTCGTCCACTTTTAACTTTCACATTATTAGTTCTACAGCCTCAGCAACGATGTCTGGAATGAACGCAACCACCTAAGCTGTCGTCCACAACAATGATGTCTGGAATGAACGCAACCACCTAAGCTGTCGTCCGCAACAACGATGTCTGGAATGAACGCAACCACCTAAGCTGTCGTCCGCAACAATGATGTCTGGAATGAATGCAACCACCTAAGCTGTCGTCCGCAACAACGATGTCTGGAATGAACGCAACCACCTAAGCTGTCGTCCGCAACAACGATGTCTGGAATGAACGCAACCACCTAAGCTGTCGTCCACAACACTGGTTACTTCATTATTTCTGCTAGTACTCTTGTCTCTTCACTTTGAAATGGAGGCTTCCGTATTCACCCCCTTCCCCCAGAGTTTAAGTGTCGATTAAAACTTTTTTTTTTAATTGGTGATGCAACACCTCTTCCGCCCAGCCACTCTCTCCTTCCCCTACACAAAGAAAATTCATGTACGAAATTTTTGTGTGGTCTTCGTGTGGAGTCTGGATTCAGACCCTCTTCACAAGACCCCCTTGACCAGGGGGAGTCTAGACCACGGCCCGCGAGCCATTTGCGGATAGCATCAACTTGAAATATTTATAAATATTAAAATTTTCGGTCACTTGTAGTAAAGATTTTGCTGCTTGTAACAATGTCAATTTTTTTTCATTTTTGTTTCTAATCTTTTCATTTTTCAGATATACTCTTCAGTCATGGAAGGAAAAAGGAAAAGAATAGTGCATAGCGAGTACAGGTGAAAGTCTTGTGTCGTGTCACGAAACTGTTGAAGTTCTGAAGGAGTACAATGTACGTCGGTACTATGAGTCCAAACATAAACCAGGTTATTCCAAATTTACAGGAACACAACGTTCGGAAAAATTTGAATCAGTACAGCGCTGGTTGCTATCCAAACCAGGATTTATTACGCAGAAGAGAGCCGAAAATGAAGCCTTAACCAGGAACAGTTACACAGCAGCTTATACGTAAGCTAAAAGAAATCTGATCTAATAGTGTATGATGGAAGCAGTGGGAGTTACGCCCAGTAAAAGAAAATCTGTTCAAAATCCCCAGTCTTGCGCCATATACTATTGCTCGTAGAACTGAGAATATAGGAAGCAATATATTTCATTAAATTGCAGACAAAGTATGAAACTTTTATGTTTATTCTCTCGCACTTGATGAATCGAATGTGACACATCACAACTCATAGTATTCATCCGTGGCGTCGACAGTGAATTTAATGTCACAGAAGAATTATCAAGTACAGCACAGGAGCCAGAGAAGACATCTTCAAAGAATTGCAAAAACTGTATAACCTGAAGTGGAATAAACAGCAATGCGTGACAATTGATGGAAGAAAGGACATGTCTGGGGTGAAGAAAGGTTTGTTTGGACACATCACTAAAGCTTGTGAGGATGATGAATTCTCAGAGCCCATATTTCTGCATTACGATGTACATTAGCAAGCATTGTGCGGAAAATACGTGCATGTCTTGCGTTCTGAAACCTGTTGTTTCACCAGTGAATTTCATTCGATCTCACGGGCATCATTATCTCGTTTAGTGATTTTCTTCAAGAAACTGATTGAGTTAGTTGACTTGCCTTATTATACAGCAGTTCGATGGCTTAGTTGTGGGATGGTTCTATAACGGTTCAGCTCAGAAAGGAAATTGATTCATTTCTCACAGAAAAGAATCGACCAGAACCAGTTTTATCAAACGATGACTGGCTTTGGAAATTGGTATTTTTTGCAGAAGTGACAAGGTATATAAATCAATTGAATCTGAAATTGCAGGGTGAAAGAAATGTGATTCGTGATCTATTCACGCATGTCAATTCATTCAGTAGTAAATTGATGCCGTTTGAAGGACAGGTGAAATTTTCTAACTTTCTTCATTTACAATGTGAAAAAATTCATGAAAAAAGTTAAGCATAATTTCCTTCTTTTGCAATAGAAATCATTACTAATTTACGCAAACAATTTCAGAAGTGATTTTCTGATCTTTATGGAAAAACAGATGAAATAAAGATGATTCAAAATCCAATTGACTTGGCAGTGTTTCAACGCTGCCAAGTCAATTTCAAATGGAAATTACTGATTTTCGATCAAAGGACATGCTGAAAAAAAGTATAAAGAAGGAAATCTGATCCAGTTTTATAAATCATTATAGCATGACCAGTTTCCAAATCTGAAGAGATTTGCTTGTGGATTCGTATCAGCTTTTGGTATAAAGTACCTTTGTGAACAAACATTTTCAAAAATGAAGAATGTCAAGTCCAAATATCGCACAAATATATCTAATGAGCATTTGAAGTCCATTCTAATAAATGTTTTTCACTCTTGAAACCTCAGTTCAGCACTATTTTGAAGTTAAAAAAAACCAGTTGCATCATTCTCAACAATTTTGTGAAAATTAATCTTGTGTCAACTCTTCTCATCTGCAGCTCAATAATTCATTATGTTTGACAATTTCACTTATTATATATCATTTCTCAGTGTAAACACAGTATTGTTTTTTCTTGATTGTCACGTTTCTCTTTTGTTTTGATTCATATCCTGCTGATTACAAAAAAGATTCAAAAGTTTTATTCATTTCATTTATATTTATGACTGATTTTCTCTTTGGCTCGCGGAAGTGTGTAAAATATGCGATGTGGCCCACGTAATGGAAAGTTTGGAGTTGCGATGGAATTTTTCTACTGATAGATACCAGATGCTTTTGAGATCAGAATATTAAAGTCTTTTATAATGATACGATATGAACTTTGACAGCATGTGTGTGATATTTGTCATGTCACTAATGTCGTGGTCACTAGGTCATTACTAAATATTTAATGTCAATGGTTCACGAAATCGTAATGACACGATTGCTAACGCGTCAGTCTGGAGTTTTGTGACTCTCTGATCACGGGTTCTAACCCCACCCTTGGTATGGTTTTTTCTTAATATCAATGGACTTACATACGCTTTTAACTGGTCTACAAATATGATGAACATTCCCCCAGCAACTGTGAAACTGCTCCACTCGTTGCCTTCAGGTCCTCTATAACTCTTAATTGCTAAAATATCATTAGTCTTGTGTGAAGACAGAGGAAATCGCTGCTAAAAATGAGAGCACATTGCTGCTCACTGTCAACAAACTGTCCAGATCGAGTTGTAAATAGACATATCTTTTCCATGATCTTTCTCCTGCACACTTGTAACTAACATTTCCAATTTATCTTGGATTTAATTTGCAACTTTAATTTCACAAAATCGTTGAGCTTTCCTTTCCTTCATTTTTTATTTCTAATATAAATATATTGGTTCTTACGGCGATCCGTTTATCTTCTGAAAAACATGTATGTTTTTCCCTCTTCTTTCCCAGGACCATGTTAATACATATTCATCTATCTGGAATTATTTTTAGATTTTATTTCTCTATTGGGAATATCTTGGGGCAGCTTGTACATTATTTGTTAAAATGTCGTATTGCCAGTTTGCTGGATCAGTAGGATCAGTAGTCACAGTTACTACCGCTGCTACAGCCATGTCATTGAAATGCTGGTTGTAAACTCCTATTGTAAGCTCTTTGGTTGAGTAAGTTACAGCCTATTACTAGTATGGTTCACGATTCGAGCACTCTTTCATTCTTCTAATTCATTGAGAGTCGTCGGTTACTCTGACACATCTTGAGTTTGACTACAAGGCTTTAAGAAGCATGACAATAGGTGTACAATGAAAGTTTCAGTGTCTGATTGGTTAGGCAGGAAGGTCACATGTGATGGTGCTGATATAATTATGTCACAGCAGTGCTGATTGTAATGTCATCCTTTTGTGAGCTAAGTAGCCGAGTGGGTACAGTATTGGGCATGCAAAATACATGGATCACGGTTCGAATCCTCGAATGTTCATCTGTTTATTGACAGTCTTTCATTAAGACCTATCGTGAATGTTTATAATATCGTGCCGAATAGGTAAAATTGGTCAATTAGCAAGAATTCATTTAAAATTAAGGCCTTTCAAAAAATTTCTCTTATACATTTAAAGATAATTTTTTTCATTTATGTTAATGTAAAAATTAATAATTTTGTACCGAAAGACCCTTAGTAAACTTATTTAACCTAATTATAACAAGCGCAGTTTAATTTAGCCTAATCCAACGAATATATTTTAGATAAGTTTACAATAATTTAATAATAAATGAAATATATTTTTTTCGTAAGGTTCAGAATGATTTTTGCGAAATTACTGCATACAAAAATTTTCGCTTGCCTTATTCAGCAAGAAGAGCGTTGCTATTTAAGCCAAAATAGCAAGTTCTACCTATTCGACACTACATTATATATATATTATATATATATATATATATATATATATATATATTATATATATATTATATATATATATATAATATATATATGAAATGTAGTGTCGAATAGGTAGAACTTGCGATCTTGGCTTAAATAGCAACGTTCATCTTGCCATATAGGACAAGCGAAAATTTGTGTATGCAATAATTTCGCCAAAATCATTCTTAACCTAACGAAAAAAATACATTTCACTGTGTTTGTTTAGTATTAAATTATTGTAAACAAATCTAAAATATATTTAGTTGGGTTAGGCTAAAATAAATTGTTCTTGTTATAATAAGGTTAGGTAAGTTTTCTCAGATTCTTTTGGTGCAAAATTAAATTTTTTTACATTAACATTAATGAAAAAAATATATCTTCAAACGCATAAGAGAAAATTTTAGAAAGGACTTAATTTTAAATGAGTTCTTGCTAATTGACCAGTTTTACATATTCTGCACGACATACATATAATATAAAATATATATATATATATATATATATATATATATATATAATATATATATATATATATATATTTATCGCGCGCGCGCGCGCACACACACACACACACACGTAAATACGTAACATTTAAAAATTATCCATTATATATAATCACCTCCCCACATAGGTTGTGCAGAGGGAGTACGCATCAGAGCGCTAGAGGTACCACTGGTGGCGCTGCAGAAGGACGAGGTGCGCCTGCGCTGTGACTACGAGGACGAGGGAGGTTCGAGCCTATACACACTCAAGTGGTACAAGGATGGCAGGGAGTTCTACCGTCACCAGCCTGGTATCTCACCCCACACTCTGGACCATCGTTGTCTCGACCGATACTCTTACCATGTTGATGGTGTCTCTGTTGATGTCAGTATCATTATTATTGTTATGATTAGTATTGTGTATTTTTATTTTTCATTTTTACTTTTGACTTTTTATATATTTTGATTATTAATTTTTATTTTTATAAATTTTAATTTTTCGTACTTTTTTTTTAATTTTTGACTTTGATTATTTCATAATTTAAATAAACACAAACAGAATAGAAATCTTTGATGTAAAGTTTCCTTTATCGAGTCTCTAAGAGTACATAGTAAGTATATATATATATATATATATATATATATATATATATATATATATATATATATATATATATATAATGTCGTGCCGAATAGGCAGAACTTGCGATCTTGGCTTAAATAGCAACGCTCATCTTGCCGTATAGGACAAGTGAAAATTTGTGTATGCAATAATTTCGCCAAAATCATTCTGAACCTAACGAAAAAAATATATTTCACTGTGTTTAGTATTAAATTATTGTAAACAAATCTAAAATATATTTAGTTGGGTTAGGCTAAAATAGTTTTTTGTTATAATAAGGTTAGGTAAGTTTTCTAATTTCCTTCCGGTGCAAAATTAAAATTTTTTACATCAACATTAATGAAAAAACTATCTTTAAACGTACAAGAGAAATTTTTAGAAAGAACTTAATTTTAAATGAGTTCTTGCTAATTGACCAGTTTTACATATTCGGCACGACATTTTAATATATATTATATATTATATATATATATGTAATTATTATATATATATATATATAATATATATATATTTAAAATATATATATATATAATATATATATATAACACTGCGACTAGCCAAGGAGTCGAACCCATGCTGCTTTGGCCTGCCTCATGGTGGGCGAAAACTCATGACGCCTTCATCCACTGGACCATACAATCCATACTTAGCCAAAGCAGCATGGGTTCGAGTCCTTGGCTAGTCGCAGCGTTGTTATTGATCAATACCACTCGTTCGTGGGCACGATAATATATATATATATATATATATATATATATATATAATATATATATATATATATATTATATATATATATATATATATATATATATAAACATTGATCTCTGGCTGAAGGAGACTCGAACCTACGAACCTTGGAACAAGGTACGCAGTGCTATACCATTCTCACCACACTGGACCAATACCTTGGAGTCCAGCTTGCGCTAGACTTTGATCCAAGGCAGCCAGCTTTAAGTCTAGCGCAAGCTAGATCTGGTCCAGTGTGGCGAGAATGGTATAGGACTGCGTACCTTGTTCCAAGGTTCGTAGGTTCGAGTCTCCTTCAACCAGAGATCAGTGTTTGTGTATATTTCGCCTGCTCTTGCGAATTCCTTGCATAATATATATATATATATATATATATATATTATATATATATATATATATATATATATTATATATATATATATATATATATATATATATCGGGAGAGCAAATGACTAGGAACATAGAGTATGAATCTATTAGATATCGGATGAGGAAGGTGATGTGTGTAGAGTAACAGCGAAGCCTCACACCCACTGGAAACTTCCCTGGTTCTGGGTTATGATGTCTACGATATAAATGATATCAGAGCCTAGACATATTCTTCTGTTTTGGGTTTTCTTTTTACTTATAACCATATTCACCTTGGGTCACTCCATCTCGTGTCAAGTCTTATTACGATGCTAACCTCAAGCTTTATTTTATTGATTGGGAGAGTATATCTGTTTTCATATATGCTTGGGAACAAATTCCTAGCTTCTGTAACCATATACTATAAGAAATTGTAACTACTACAAAGGATATTGTGGATATGCCTTCATTCTCCTTGAGGTTGGAGTTAACCCTCTTGTATGCGTGTCTTCTCTTGGATGACTCAGAACTGAGGTGGAGAATAACGGGCGAAGACAACGAAATGCAATGAATAAGCAAGAACAAGTTGTAGGATTATTTTGGTATGGAGTTATTTGGATTTAAACTCAGAAAATGCAAGGTTACAAGAGCTGGGCAGCGAGAAGAACAGAAACTTACTTCAGGTTTCTTTCTGTCAAGGCTGCGAATCCTCGCTCAAGAAGGATCTCGAAGTGAGCATAATACTGAGAATATCGCATGAAGTGCACATCAACCGAATAACCTCTGCAGCAAATGCTCGTCTGGTAAATCTAAGATTGGCTTTCAGAAATAGGAACGAAGAATCAGTCACGACAGTATGCGACATATGTCGAACTCAGAGTAAACAACAGCTTGGAACCAACCAGTGAACTAGTTCGTCAAGAAATTTGAAAAAGTGCATAAATTTGCAACGAGACTAGTCCAAGAGGTACACAAGTTATGAGTGGAGATTAATGGAACTAAAGCTGATGATTTTCGAAGACAGAAGGACCAAGAAAGATCTACGAAATACTTAAAGGAATTGATAGAGTGGTCTGGAGAAGGCTGTTCTGGTGGCGAGAAATTGGTTTACTAGAGTATAGTAGGATGTTGATAGCACGGGGATGTTAGGAAGCGTTTTTTTTCAACCTCAGAGTGTTCAGGAAAGTGAATAATCTGAAAAACTACGTGATAAATTTAGGAAAAACTACGAGAGGGCTAAGGACAGAGTAAACCATTAACAGGCAGTTTAAGAAGCAGGGTCAGGAACTGAGATTCAACTTCTACAAGGGAATAAACAAAGCGCACACATACCACATACCCCTCATCCCCCCCCCCCCCACACACACATAGCAACAAGGGGTGACAACTTGAAGCTTAAAACTAAGATGAGTCCCAGGGATGTTAGGAAGTATTTCTTTAATCACAGAGTTGTCAGGAAGTGGAACAATTTGGAGAGTGATGTACTGGAGGCAGGATCCATACATAGCTTTAAGAAGAGATACGATAAAGCTGAAGGAGCAGGGAGAGAGTGGAACTAGAAGCGACCAGCGAAGAGGCGGGGCCCGGAGCTATGACTCGACTGCTGCAACCATAAGTGAGCACAAATAGGTATTCGCGCGCGCACGCGCACGCACGCACGCACGCACACACACACACACACACACACACACACACACACACACACACACACACACACACACACCACACACACACACACACACACACACAAAATTCAGGGAGAGTGACCTAGTAGCGACCAGTGAAGAGGCGGGGCCAGGAGCTAGGCCTCGACCCCTGCAACCTCAACTAGGTGAGTACACACACACACACACACACACACACACACACACACACACACCACACACACAACACACACACACACACACACACACACAATCTTTGCAAAAGAAGTAAGGCACAAGAGAGAGGGGTGGATAGACTGCATTTTCTTGGACTGCAAGAAGGCCTTCGACACAGTTCCTCACAAGAGGTTAATGCAAGAGCTGGAGGATCAGGCACGCATAACAGGAAAGGCACTGCAATGGATCAGAGAATATCTGACAGGAAGGCAACGAGTCATGGTACTTGACGAGGTGTCAGAGTGGGCGCCGGCGACAAACGGGGTTCCACAGGGGTTAGTCCTAGGATCTTTGCTGTTTTTGGTATATGTGAATGATGTAAGGGAAGGGATAGACTCAGAAGTGTCCCTGTTTGCAGATGATGTGAAGTTAATGAGAATTAAATCGGTCGAGGATCAGGCAGAACTACAGAGAGACTTGGACAAGCTACAAGCCTGGTCCAGCAACGGGCTCCCTGAATTTAACCCCGCCAAATGAAAAGTCATGAAAATCGGGGAAGAGCAAAGAACACCGCAGACAGAGTATAGTCTAGGTGGCCAAAAACTGCAAACCTTACTCGAGAAAAAAGATCTTGGGGTGAGTATAATACCGAGCACATCTCCTGAGGCGCACATCAATCAGATAACTACTGCAGCATATGGGCGCCTGGCAAACCTATGAATAGCGTTCCGATACCTCAGTAAGGAATCATTTATGACTCTGTACGTCAGGACCATACTGGAGTATGCAGCACCAGTTTGGAATCCACAACTGGTCAAGCGCGTCAAGAAATTAAAGAAAGTGCAAAGGATTGCAGGAAGACTAGTTCCAGAGCTAAGGGATTTGTCCTACTTAGAAAGGTTAAGGGAAATTGGCCTGACGACACTGGAGGACAGGAGGGTCAGGGGAGACATGATAACGACATAATACTGCGAGGACTAGACAAGGTGGACAAAGACAGGATGTTCCAGAGATGGGACACAAAAACAAGGGGTCACAATTGGAAGTTGAAGACTCAGATGAGTCAAAGGGACGTTAGGAAGTATTTCTTCAGTCATAAGTTGTCAGGAAGTGGAATAGCTTACAAAGTGACGTAGTAGAGGCAGGAACCGTACATACAGTAGTTTTAAGACGAGGTTTGACAAAGCTCATGGAGCAGGGTAAGAGAGGATCAAGTAGCAATCAGTGAAGAGGTCGGGCCAGTTGCTATGGCTCGACCCCTGAAACCACAAATAGGTGAGTGTACACACACACACACACACACACACACACACACATATGGGACACAGCAACAAGGAGTCACAGTTGGAAGTTGAAGACTCAGGTGAATTACAGGGATATTAGGAAGTATTTCTTCAGCCGCAGAGTTGTCAGAAAGAGGAATAGTCTGGGAAGTGATGTAGTGGAGGCAGGATCCATACATAGCTTTAATAAGAGGTATGATAAAGCTCATGGAGCAGAAAGAGTGACCTAGCAGCGACCAGTGAAGAGGTGGGGCCAGGAGCTATGGCTAGACCCCTGCAACCAGTACAACTAGGTGAATACATACACACACACACACACACACACACACACACACCTCTGACATAGGGACAGTCTGTAAGTGAACCTGAAATGTGATTATCCTTGTCAATTTAACTCCATGTGTCTGTGGACATTTCTCGCTCGTCTTTTCTGTCACCTTAAACGTGGAAAAGTAATAAGCAAAATTAAAGCTGGATTCATTTATTTCATTCTTTTAATGGTCGAAATTATCAATAAAAACAAGTTTTCTAGTGTTTTTCTAGAGGTGTCATTATTTAACTAATTTTTAATAAAATATGAACAGTTTTTCCTTTTGTTTTGTCGGGTCTGTAATTTTCTAACTCTGTTTACCCTATTTTAAATTTACGTAAGTGTTTGATAGAGTATTTTCTCATCTTCTCTCTCTCTCTCTCTCTCTCTCTCTCTCTCTCTCTCTCTCTCTCTCTCTCTCTCTCTCTCTCTCTCGCTCTTTCTCTTTCTCCATGTCAAATTATCCCATTTTTCATCTCTTCCTTTTTATTCCTGTCTGTGTCTGCCTGTCTGCGTATGCCTGCAGTTAACACGTGTGATGTTCCCCAGTGTTGGGTATCGAGCGAGAGGGAGGTGGTACTGCGGGAGGTGACCACTACCACGTCAGGAGAGTACCAGTGTGAGGTGATCGGTGAACACCCCAAGTTTAGAAAGGAGGTCCGCAGCGCGAGACTCACTGTGTTTAGTAAGTAGCTGAGATGCTCTCTCTCTCTCTCTCTCTCTCTCTCTCTCTCTCTCTCTCTCTCTCTCTCTCTCTCTCTCTCTCTCTCTCTCTCTCCCCCTTCTTGAGCGAGCCATACAGATTACTAAAAAATATTTGAAATATCCTGTGTGAATATTGATTACTACTACTACTACTACTAATAATAATAATAATATAATAATAATAATATAAGGTATACCAATAATAATAATAATGCTATTGTTCTCACCTTCCATGTCCTCTTTTTTTTTTTCCTTCATTCCTTTCGTACTTCTTCCGTCCACACACTACTCCGTCCCTCCATTCCTCCATCTCTTCCATATATCACCTTCATTCGTTCCTCTCTCCTTCCCCTCCCTCCCTTCCGTCCTTGCTTTCCTCCCTTCCCAGCGGAGGCGCTGAGGGAGCCTAGGATCCTAGGAGCTAAGGAATCCTACAGAGCTGAGGACTCAGTGTTGCTCAACTGTTCGAGTACCAACACCCAGTACCTGCCTGTCCTCTCCTGGACTCTAAACGACACGCCCGTGTCCAAGGTAGGCTCTATTAAGAAGGCTTACCAGGTAGGCCTAAAGGGGATGTGTCCCCAAACTGCACCCGAACAAGGTCATTTAATTCAAGGAATTTTTCCTACACTTTTCTTTCTCTGACTAAACTTGCCAACTTTTCAGTCCCCAGACCCCTAGAAATTTCTCTCATCCAAATGTAAAAGAAAATATAACTGTGCTTCTGTCTAGGTTCCATAAGTAGCTCTGCTAGGTAGTCCCATAAGGTTAGCTCTGCTAGGTAGTCCCATAAGGTTAGCTCTGCTAGGTAGTCCCATAAGGTTAGCTCTGCTAGGTAGTCCCATAAGGTTAGTTCTGCTAGGTAGTCCCATAAGGTTAGCTCTGCTAGGTAGTCCCATAAGGTTAGTTCTGCTAGGTAGTCCCATAAGGTTAGCTCTACTAGGTAGTCCCATAAGGTTAGCTCTGCTAGGTAGTCCCATAAGGTTAGTTCTGCTAGGTAGTCCCATAAGGTTAGCTCTGTTAGGTAGTCCCATAAGGTTAGCTCTGCTAGGTAGTCCCATAAGGTTAGCTCTGCTAGGTAGTCCCATAAGGTTAGCTCTGCTAGGTAGTCCCATAAGGTTAGCTCTGCTAGGTAGTCCCATAAGGTTAGCTCTGCTAGGTAGTCCCGTAAGGTTAGCTCTGCTAGGTAGTCCCATAAGGTTAGTTCTGCTATGTAGGCTCCACTGTACAGCTAGGCTCCGCTGATAATGTCACTAGTATGTGGTACTAGTTGATTTTGTAATTAGGTTCCACTAGAATCTTGTATTTTCCAAGATGCACTAGATGCATAAGAGGAATTGTCCAGCTGCCTTCAGGAGGCAGCTGGACAGATACCTAAAGTCAGTACCCAATCAGCCAGGCTGTGGTTCATACGTTGGACTACGTGCACCCAGCAGTAACTGCCTGGTTGATAGCCCCTGAACCACCGAGAGGTATAGTCAAGGACAGGGCCGTGGGGGCGTTGACCCCCCGGAACACCCTCCAGGTATACTCCAGGTAGTAATGAGTCCACAGAAGACGCACATAATAGGGAACTGGTGGGATACATTTCGAACAATCGATGTAACCATTCTTGCAAGTAATTGCCAGTTTTATAATGCGCGACATAAACAAAAGTCTTGTATAAGAAAAATCAGCTCATATGTACAGTCAGTAGGTCATCAGTCACCATAGTGTGTGAACAAGTTGGTACACACAGTACGGATGAAAGAACGCAAGTGGACTTGGTTACTGGATGAACTTTAGTCACCCATGAAGTAGGTATCATTATTCCTTCTGCTGCAGTATATTTACATTGTTCTCAGCTTTTTAGTAAAAGTTAAGACCGACATGTTAAGTAAAGGTGAATTTGCCAGAATTGCTTATAATCCTCACAAAAAATATTTATTATGAATAAATCTAGTTTATTCAGTCGTAGATTTGTGTTCAAATTGCAATCAATTCCACCTTTTGTGGAATATGTTTACATATTGCATCGTGAACCAGTGACTTCCTTATTACAAATTTAATAGTCTATTGTCCACCATCTTAAACAACAGTGCTATACAGAATCACAAGATTACTCATTATGCCAGGTGGTTTCATGATGGATTAGTGGCGCTAGGTCAGTATCTACGTATCAAAACATCATTCTAAGTCTGTCGTGAATGGTTATATAACGCGTTTTGCTGTTACTGTACCATACATTGACAATTGATAGCATAGGTAGTGGAGTTAAAGGATATTCGAAGAGGAAATCTGAATCAGAGAAATATCGGAATGGTATAGAAAATTCCCAAATAAGGCATATTAATCGATACTGAGAAGTGCCCCTTGGAACATTCAAGTACCCCAGATCAGGACACTTAAACGGACAAAACAGCACATTCATTTCTTTTCTTTCATTAATTAAAAAAGTTACCCGGAATAATAGCAATCCATATGTATATTATCCACCGTGAAACGTATTTTCTCAAGTCACATGACCTTTTCTAAGATAGAAAAATCTTGGCGCTGGTTATTAAATTTTCTGATTTCATATTCCATGACTTATCAAAATCCAGAGGCCCTCTCCTACCCTATATGGGGGGATGGTGATGGTGCGGGTGGCACACAGACTGTTGGCTCACATTCAGAGAGAGGCTGTGACAGATGTCAACCCCGCACTGCACTACTCTGAGAAAACACTTCCCCTCACTCCTTCAGTTCCTGCCTTGCAACTTCGCATAGCTCCTGATGACGCGCTGAGAAGTGTGAAAGTACTTGAGCTAAGGATTTCCACCCCCCGTGGCTTTTCTTGCATTATATATATATATATATATATATATATATATATATATATATATATATATATATATATATATATATATATATAAAATATATATATATATATCAAACGTATCTCAGGGAAAACTCGAGGTTCTCACCGGAGCTGTTTGAATATTTTCTTCTCCTACCACCCCCCTATAATTTATATATTATATATATACTTTATTAATAGAATACATTGATAGGAAATACAAACATGAATACATTGGTACAATATGCAGCCCAATATGCAGCATGCATTTCCCCTCTGGATGGCCACGCTGAGGCGCTGGAACATGAAAGTGGCTGCCCTTGGGTCCCTGGTGGTGTCTGAGTCTGGAACCCAATTCTTTAAGGAAACGTGTGGCATGTTTTCCCCATGATCCCAGGGTGTCTGATCCCACTGGGACAAATTGATACTGTTGGCTTATGTCCCTGTACCTGCCGATCTTGTACTCCTCCCTGTGGTCAGCAGCTCCTCCCTGTCGCTCGACACTGTGATGGATATAGGTGCTAACAAACCGTCCGTTTCCCACCGAGGCAATGTGGGCCTATAAGAAAATCAAAAGTCTCTCTTTTTAACTTTATTAATGTATACAGGAGAAAGGGTTACTAACTCCTTGCTCCCAGCATTTTAGTTGCCTCTTACGACACGCATGGCTTAAGGAGGAAGAATTCTGTTCCACTTCCTCATGGAGATAGGAAGTAAACAAGAACAAGAACTAGCAAAAAAATAAAGAAAACTCAAAGGGAGGGATATATATAATATATATATATATATATATATATATATATATATATATATATTATATATATATATATATATATATATATGTCGTGCCGAATAGGCAGAACTTGCGATCTTCGCTTAAATAGCAACGCTCATCTTGCCATATAGGACAAGTGAAAATTTGTGTATGCAATAATTTCGCCAAAATCATTCCGAACCTAACGAAAAAAATATATTTGTGTTTGTTTAGTACTAAATTAATGTAAACGTATTTAAAATATTAGTTGGGTTAGGCTAAAATAAATTGCTCTTGCTATAATAAGGTTAGGTAAGTTTTCTAAGATTCTTTTGGTGCAAAATTAAATTTTTTTGCATTAACATTAATGAAAAAAATATATCTTTAAACGTATAAGAGAAAATTTTGGAAAGGACTTAATTTTAAATGAGTTCTTGCTAATTGACCAGTTTTACATATTCGGCACGACAGACATATATATATATATAATATATTATATATATATATATATATATATATATATATATATATATATGTATATATATATATATATATATATATATATATATAATATTATTGTGACCACGAACGAGTGGTATTGATCAACAACAGCACTGCACTAGCCAAGGATTCGAACCCATGCTGCTTTGGCCTGCCTCATGGTGGGTGAAAACACATGACGCCTTTGTCCACTGAACCTGACGATCCTTAAGAGTAGGGCATCCAGCGGAACTGGATGTGGTACTCCCTACCCAAGGACACACGATGGTGTGGATGACTCTAGGCTAATTTCATTCTAGTCCCTGTTTGGTGTACTAGTTCAACGATCAGTATTTTATATTATTGTGTCCTTGGGTAGGGAGTACCACATCCAATTCGGCTGGATGCCCTACTCTTAAGGATCGTATGGTTCAATGGATAAGGGCGTCATGTGTTTTCGCCCACCATGAGGCAGGCCAGAGCAGCATGGGTTCGAGTCCTTGGCTAGTGCAGTGCTGTTATTGATTATATATATATATATATATATATATAAAATATATATAATTATATATATATATAATATATATATATATATATATATATATATATATAATATATATATATATATAAAGAAAAAGAATCACACATAGTGGAGTTGTCACAGTTGCTCTTTGCTGATGACACTGTGCTCTTGGGAGATTCTGAAGAGAAGTTGCAGAGATTGGCGGATGAATTTGGTAGGGTGTGCAAAAGAAGAAAATTAAAAGTGAATACAAGAAAGAGTAAGGTTATGAGGATAAAAAATATTAGGTGATGAAAGATTGGATATCAGATTGGAGGGAGAGAGTATGGAGGTGAATGTATTCAGATATTTGGGAGTGGACGTGTCAGCGAATGGGTCTATGAAGGATGAGGTGAATCATAGAATTGATGAGGGAAAAGAGTGAGTGGTGCACTTAGGAGTCTGTGGAGACAAAGAACTTTGTCCTTGGAGGCAAAGAGGGGAATGTATGAGAGTATAGTTTTACCAACACCCTTATATGGGTGTGAAGCATGGGTGATGAATGTTGCAGCGAGGAGAGAAGGCTAGTGGAGATGTCATGTCTGAGGGCAATGTGTGGTGTGAATATAATGCAGAGAATTCGTAGTTTGGAAGTTAGGATGAGGTGCGGGATTACCAAAACTGTTGTCCAGAGGGCTGAGGAAGGGTTGTTGAGGTGGTTCGGACATGTAGAGAGAATGGAGCGAAACAGAATGACTTCAAGAGTGTATCAGTCTGTAGTGGAAGGAAGGCGGGTAGGGGTCGGCCTAGGAAAGGTTGGAGGGAGGGGTAAAGGAGGTTTTGTGTGCGAGGGGCTTGGACTTCCAGCAGGCGTGCGTGAGCGTGTTTGATGGGAGTGAATGGAGACGAATGGTTTTTAATACTTGACGTGCTGTTGGAGTGTGAGCAAAGTAACATTTATGAAGGGGTTCAGGGAA